GAGAGATGAGAGGTGAGAGAGTCATTAGAAATAGGGAGAGAGTGGAGAGGAGCGAGGGAGAGAGTATAAAGATGAAGAATAAAAGAAAAGAGATACAGCAAGAGACAGAGGGCAAGGAATGATGCAGAGATAGTGATAATGAGGAGATACACTGATAATGAGGAGATAGAGTGCAGGGTTCTCCAAGCTTTTTCATTATAGCATGGCCGGGTGCTGCCTTTACGGTCCTAGTTGCAAAATCGCGAAGGCGCGTGTTGCGTGCTAGGGGCGTCCGGGGGCTATGATATTTAGCATTGGCGGCTATGATATTTAGGAGTGGGCGGTCTGGAATTTTAGGATGGGGGGCTCGACGTTAGCTGGCGGGCGCCCAGGCTATAATGCTCTTGGAGAACCCTGAGAGTGGTGATTTATAAGAGAGGCCAGCAAAGGGGGAAGGGGACAAAGCATTGCAGGTGGGAGATATCGAACAGATGGTGAACAGGAAGAGAACTGAAAAGAAGGTATTAGGTAAAATAAAATGAATGGGTTGAGAGGAACAAGACACATCTGCTGATCACTGTAGGTACTACGTCATTTCGAGGCTATAATTGCGTGTATTTACAAGTCTAATTGCTGTAAGTGTAAGTGTGTGTCCTGTGCTCTTCGCATGTGATTCTATACAGCTGTGCCAGTGTATAGTGTTTTTATTGTCTGTGCGGTGACTGACTACCACTCGCAGCTAGGGCCTGCATATACCTCCCAAAGTAACGCGTCATCGACCGACCAATCGGAGCGCTCGCAGTCCTCCCAAAGTGACGCGTCGTCGCCCGCCAATCGGAGCGCTCGCAGCTCAGGCACTAAAGCTGTGCGATGGTAGTTTTTGTGGTTGCATTATTTAAGCTGGCTAATCGTGAGTGGTATGGTTACTGCCATACTGGTAAGGGTTAGGGTTTAGCTTTATATTTATTCAGCTTTTAGTGCCTGAGCTGCTTAGAGTACTAGCGCTCCGAATTGCGATCGGTCAGACGACGCGTCACTTTGGGATGTACTAATACTATGCAGGCCCTAGCTGCGTGTCTGACTACCACGGTCACTCACAGGCTGGATTTTTAGACCGACGTTTGTCATTGTTGGTATTTTAAAACATTTGAAACACAACACAAACTACTTACTTATGGATGTTTAATCGATTTTGTTAACAAATACTATGAAGTACAGACGGCAACTGCGTAAAAAAGCGCAGAAAAAAGTTTGGGAGTGATAGACTCCTTCTTATCATGGGGCCGCCATGTTGTCACTAACGTCCGAGTCAGAGCTGTTCAGATAAAGCTCATCGATAAGAACGTTATAGAAAAATTATAAATGCTTTTAATTGTGGAATTTAAAATTCAATGAGTAAATTTTTTGTTTAGATTGCCTGCATATGATAATCAGCAATAACATTACTTTATGTGATTAATCGTATATCTTCTCCAGAGAGGGTCTGCGCAGAATGAGATGCGCCGATCGCAAAATAATGGCCGGAGATTTGTCACAATAAACCGACCATTACAACTCACAAAATGACGCTAAATTTAAGATGTAAGTATCAACGTTATTTCTGACCGATATTGAAATATAAGTTAACCCGTGTATGGTTTTAATAATTTATGCACGCGGGCATATGTTGATTTCGCCTATTAAATTCGAGTGCCTACATGTAGATAAATTGACACGGTCAAAGAACACTGTACCGCCGCCATATTGTCTAAATATGACAATCCATTGGAAGTGATTGCAAGTGTAACTTAAATCATTTGGAAGATGCCAAATATGGAGCACTGGCCGCGCATAGAGAGAAGTGCGACGCGGCAGAGGAGAAGAAAAGATAACATGGTGGATCGTGCCGGCCCATAATGAAAGCCAGCGCATGGATCGCAAAACTAGGTGGACAGAAAGTGTTCCTCCTCAGGTCAGGGTGGCATGTACGAACCGCCGCAGTATGTAGTCTATTTCACGCAGCTGTCCCTTATTTCCCAGTCCGCTTCGCCTTGATGAACAGTACATAGTAGAGTCCACTAAGCATTTGCACTCCGTTAACGAAGTCTGCCAAAGGCCGTGTCACAGACGGGGCGGTGCCCCGTGCATGGTTCATTCGTCAGTTGATAACACTGATATACATGCGTTGGCATCTCACATCGGCAGTTAAGGTGATGTCCTTTTGTTTGAACCCTGCCAGGTGTTGCCTGGGACATCGACAGTTCGCTGCATGTTATCGAGCTTTGACAAGCGGCATCGGGAGCAGTACGTGCACTGACGTAAACATAGACGAAAGCTTGTGACAAGGGCCTTGGAAACTACTAGGCCTATTTTCGAGTATTCCTGGTATCCGAGGCCAGTAAATTTTCCGTGGGCCAATGAAACTGGTAATAAATAATCCTGATGGGCCAGGTGAATCTGTCTCTCTACCTGTCTCTCCCTCTCCCCATCTCTCTCTCTCTCTCTCTCTCTCTCTCTCTCTCTGTCTCTCTACCTGTCTCTCCCTCTCCCCATCTCTCTCTCTCTCTCTCTCTCTCTCTCTCTCTCTGTCTCTCTCCCTGTCTCCCCATCTCTCTCTCTCTCTCTCTCTCTTTATGTCTCTTTCTCTCTCCCCCAGCTCTCTCTTATACTTGCATACATATTACAAATATACAACCATATAGTTACCATAGTATATCGTCAAACTTCTGATATGGGGTGTGACAGAATGAACTCTAATTTAGTAGTTATGATAATTGCTGCTTGTAGCATGTGTATAGTCAATGCTGAATATATATATATATATGCACGTGTTAAAATAAAAACAAAGTAACAACTGCAACATACAACAACAGAGTAAACCCCTTGATGAGAAATTACTTTTTACAGTGTGCCAGGCCAAATAAAATTGGAAAGCAAGAATCTGCAGTCATAACCAATAAACAAAAATTAGTGTCAACCTAAAGCTGAAAACTGTTATACTAAGTGAGTAAATATGACACAATGTATTTTAATTATTTTACAGGTTCCCGTCATTTCAAATTCTAGGCATCGGCCAGGTTAGTTCCAATTACATTTATTTTCTTTCTAATTAAAGGGATCGTTTACTCTAGGTTCTAGGGTTATTTTCAGTTAATTTAGGTTAAAATTACGCTACATAAAAAGTTTCATGGTTCAATCACCTTTAGAAATATTATTAAAAAATGTTTTAAAACTAACGACTACAGTTTGATTACAATGACGGTGGCGCCACTCTAAGCGCACGATCTGATAAGTTGCGCAAAACCACTTTTCAGCAAAGGGCTACAGACCGAGGGTGTTTCTTATTTATTAATTTAAAAGCAAAAGAATTGTTTTATCTTATAAACAACATATAGTTTCAGTTATAATATGGATAAATTTGCCCTAAAATGAATATCGTTCGGTTAAATAGCATTTAGGTATAAATATAATTGCACTTTTGTGATTAGCCCTCGGTCTGTAACGTGCAAAATAAATGGTAAAATACGCAACTTTTTTGGGGTGGCAGCACGGTCGCGGTTGTCATGGCGCCGTTCAAATTTTGTAGCGTTGATGTGTAATTAATTATAACAATTAAATTAGGTATCTGGTAACAAATACGTGTGGGTATAGACGATTTGTTATACAGTAAGTACAGTTGTATGCAGTAAAATCCTAGAGTCTACTATCCCTTTAAGCTATTACTTACATTTCACAGTACACAACAACTTCACTTAACTTACATTCAAAATATTAAAATTGCAAATTTCTTATTGTGTACATTGTTATTTATTCATCATTCTTACTTATATTTACTAAATTAGGTTAAAGGATGTGTGTTATATTATTTGTTATGCATGATCTATTGTGGTTAATATATCTATTGTGTGCAAGTTTTGGAAAATTAGTTGTATATGCAGGTAACTTTATATAGAACTTTGCAATATTAAATAAGAGCCAACCATCATTTTTAGTTTAGTTTTATATTCTGTTATATAGCATTTGTCTTTGCCCTTTAATGAGTTTACCATTTAGTATTCACTGCAGATTCCAGATGGTATTTTTAAGGTATTTTTTACATGATTATGTATAATAACTGCTCTTACATGGCTAGGGTAAATGTTGGCTACTCACTAATTGGGCAGCAATAATTATTTTGATTTACAAGAAAGATACTGTCTAAAGTGTATTAATATTTTATGATGGCTTCGTCTTATGGATTGTGCACTTTTGGTTAGAATTGTGAAACTTTGCACACACGTACTACATGTGGTCCTGAAGAATTTCTGATATAGTGCTAAATGAACAGTGCCATCTGGTGGCAGACAGCGCCCCTTGGCGTGTTAACGAGTATTGCATTATAACACTCTTAGGGTTTTGGCTATAATTTCAATAATACTCATCCAATTTATTCAGGAAATAGCTCAAATGATTTGTAGATATCTGCACTAATATTCTAGAAGCAATATAATTTATTGAGTGTAGCTATCTAAGTTGTAATAAAATAAGGTTGAAACTATGAAATGGTTAAAAATAATGAAAACTTGCATGCTAAATGACCGATATGTCAAAAATCATCATCACTGCAGTCTTGTTAACATAGTGTATTTGCCTACTAAATAAGGAACATTTTGACATACAGCATGCTCATGTAAATTAGATAATTTTTGATATATCAAGTGACGCTGTATCAGAAAATCTTCAGGACCTATGGTATTATGCGTGTGCAAAGTTTCACAATTCTAACCAAAAGTGCACAATGTGCCCATTTTTATATTCTTATCCACTGGATTGCAACTAGCAATTCAGTTTGCATGTGAGTTGTAATAAAAAGAAATTTTGACATTTTCAGATGTTTGCTACAGTTATTGTACTGTATGCTGCAAAACTATTGGGGATAATTCAGTTTCCAGACATTTCAAGGGATATACCAAGAAAAGTAAGAGATACGGGAATTACGTATTCCAGAGATGCCAACCACTACGATTTATTCGTAATTTATACGAATTTCTATCCTTTTGCACCACTACAACCAGTTTGTATCAAACTACAAATTTCACTGATCGGAAAAAAAAAATATTTTGTTATTTTTTGTCGATTTATTGTCATTTTTGACCCTCAGAATGCAGGAAATTGCATCTCAGAATCAAAAAATTTTCCGGGGGGCATGCTGGACCCCCTAGCAAACTCGGGTCAACCCTCGAACTACTAATTTGATGGCCAGAAACTACAGATATGTGTTGGCATCTCTGGTATTCTATTGCACATTAACATTAGGCCAAAACAAAATATAGGTGTGGTTACAGTTTCCCGACCGACCTTATTTATTCGCGGCGACCCTTAAATAAATAAAAAAATGAATTGGACATCATTTCCTGCTTCAAAAGGCACAACGCACATCTTTCGGACATGGTTCGTAAATAAAATATTTCAAGAAAATAAAATGTTTTCCCTATTTACCTACCCTATTTTTTTCGGCATGTAACGGTAACCACACTGAACAGTCGAAAAAGGGAACCAAAACTTGACATTATATCAAGCATATATACATCTTCATGATCATAAAATCTGCACCTTGCTATGTAACAATTTGTACATACTGGCAATGTAAAGTGTATGCTAATTAAATGTCACGTTTCTTTTGTTATCAGATATGGCCTTTACCAATCTTGTATCTGGGAAACTTGGTGTTTGGTTTAGGAGGAACAAAGAAACTCAAGTAGGTTTTTGTGACTGCAGGATTGCATGTTGTGTTTATATCTATAGGTATATTTATAGCTGAGTATAAATTTTTAACAATAACTATATTATAGCCTTTGCCATGGCATAAAGGAGTAATCAATTGTCAGAAAGGATTGAGGAGAATGAGAAAAACTATCGGTATGAGTTGTTTAACAACACCAGTAACACTAACAGAAACATAACCAGATATGAATGAAAATGTGGTATGTGTTTTTTTTAATAGTTTGCCAATGTTCACAGTACTGCGAAGATTCTCAATATTCCTAACAATGGTTTTAGAATATCTCATTTTAAGGTGAGTGTTAATAACGTATCATGTCTATCATGAATCTAATCAAAACTTCTAATGAATCTTGTTCATTTCTCACACAAAGTACCACAACAATGTGGAACCAATTACTAGTAAACTAATAAATATAATTGTACAAAATGTTCATATCATTTCGGTAGTTGTATAGTCTCTATAGTCATACCTTTAAGGAAAAATTGCTTGATATGTAACTTTCTGTCTCATTTTGTTTTCAGTATACGCCCTAGCTTTATGGTACAGTCAACAGTGTGTGCCATGATAGGTGGTGCTGTAATAGCTGCAAGGTGAGCCTGTTGAATCTAAAATAACATAGCAACTGTAGATTCTCTGTTTGTGTACCAAACAGAGATAATTTGACAGATGGTTTCCTTGTTTTAAAATTATATAAATATAACGAGCTATAGGCGAGACGCTACGTGCCTCGGCATCCAGTGAGAAAATGCCCCGCATAGGAGCCAAGAGAGGGACACTTTGAAACCATGAAAACTGCATAAAATGTGCCAATTTGTGTGTATATTTTGTGCATATCTGTCTTACCTCTGTATGAATAGTAAGAAAATTAGAACCTACATTTCTTTTAATTATTAGTATTTTGCTCTGGTCTTTGTTGATGATTTACGATCTATCCTGGTAAAACTTTACATGTCTATAGTCACAGTGATTAACGTTTGGACATTGGTTGACATTTGTCTGCTTATTCTATGTTGTACGTACCATGGTATAACGCACGCGTATCAGACCGGATACTGGATGTATTTAAGTACGCACCTGACTAATGTTTCTGATGCCATTAAATTTACAGTGATGACATGGCATTCAATTTAATTGGATACGTCTACCTTATGGCTAATAACGTCTGCACTGCTGCTAATGGCGTGTATATCAAGAAGAAGCTAGAAGCCAATGTAAGCACCAGACTATATGAGGGTGCTGATAGGGTATAGCATGGGACGTGAAATTATCGTATAATTTACTTTTCACGTGTAAAAAACGATCACGTTTTTTACTGCCATTCATGACCCTTTGCCAGCTGTGATGCGTGAATTCTCTGTAGTGTGAAAAAGCTCAAATCTTTTCCATGAGTTTTATTTTGTATTGCCTTTATCTTTATATGGATTCTTTAGGTGCTTGGTTTTTCAAGTTTGCTTTAGTAATTTATTTAACAAGATTTAACGGGAAAGGTAATTATTAACTAACAAAAATGTCAAAATATTGACCTAGAACTAATAAGATATATTTTTTATAGATAAGATTTGGGGTACCTCCTCTGCATTCTTCTTTATGTTTATTCCTATAGCATGTACTTGGTGGTTTACTGAGATGGGCAGGGGTACACATCGGGTGGGTGAGCATGCTTCCTTAACCGGATAGTCCAGTTGTGTATGACAATATTCATAAGTGTGTGTGCGTGCGTACGTGCGTGCGTGCGTGTGCGCGTGAGTGGGTGGGTGTGGGTGTGTGTCTGTGTGTGTGTGTGTGTGTGTGTGTTTGTTTGTGTATGTGCGTGCGTACTTGCGTGTGTTTGTATGTGTTGTGTGGGTTGTACTTGCATGTGCATTCTTGCAAACAATATGTCAGGGCTTGGAGTAATCATTCTGAATGATGAACTGTCACTGAATGATGAACGTCAGAATGATTACTCCAAGGCAGGGGCGTAGCTACGGGGGGGCCTGGGGGGCGTGGTGATAATGTTAGTCTAAAATTCCCATTTAGACCCCTTTACGATAAGAACTCTGTTTTAGCTAGAAGATTTTAAAGTTGTTCTTAATTTTCCAATGGGCAGATGAACGACTTAAAAAGCAACAGCAGGTAAAATACAAAAGACGAGGGCTCAACCATAATCGCGATTGCAATCAACAATTGCCAATGCCCAATGCCAATAGCCAAGCTCGAACAATAACAATGCCAGCGACCGCTGGTAATTGTATTGAACACATACTGCATATTTACATATTCCGCAACAGTGGAAACATGCGATGAGCACGTAATATTACATGCTACGGCAGCCAACGTGGTAATGAGTCGGCCCCGACCTAACCAGCCCATTCAGATCCTTATCTATATTCTAACATTTGAGTCGCGTATCATCACCAGTAGTTCTAACATACATAACAATAAAACATTTGTTGGGTGTGTGTGTGCGTGTGTCTGTATTTCACTGTGTACTTGCCAAACCACATGGTTAATGTGTATTAACGTGTAAGCAGTGATGTATCATGTATTTGTATTGACATCTCACCATAAAAATAACAAACATGTGCAACAACTAAACTCATCCATGATAACACCTTACACATAACAACTACTGTACTGGTAACAATAGGCATCACTAGATATCTAACCCGCGCTGTAGCCGCGGGTTTCAGCTCAGTACATTATTAAAAAAAGTAGATAAAACAATTATAGAACCTATTTAAGAACCTTTTGAGCCTAATTTTTCAGTAGCACCATTTTATATATAGAAATTTCGAGGCTAACTTGGAAAAATCTATGTTCTTCTCGGCGGGTTTTTTACTGAAGTATAGGTAGTCCGTTCGATAAAACGTGACTGCTAGCAGAGGCTTCACTGCTATTTTCAACTTGTATAGGAGATATCTATGAACGCGTAGCGCATTCACAATATCGGTGGTTGTTCGGGTTGTTTCTTACATGGGCACGATCGTGAGAGCCGAGATGTTCACCAGGTTTTCACAGCGGCACGATCGGCGAGACCGTTAGCTGTTCAAGGTTGTTTTGCCAGGCCAAGGCGACAGTGCGATCTAGTTCGCTCCTTTTGTTCAGACGGGCACGATATGTGTGCATCTATCGTTCCACTTGTTTCAGAGCGAGAGATCGTTAACACTAGCTGTTCTACTTGTTACCACACGGGCAGCACACGGCCGGAGACGCTTTGTTGTCACTTATCTTTGCCAGGCACGACAGTGCGATCTAAGTCGGTTCACCTTGTTTTCAGACGGCGCATTGATTAGTTGTGACTAGTCGTTCACAGTGTTGTTTCAGACGAGCACAAACGTTAACACTAGTATGTTCACCTTTGTTCGGGCAGACGACACATCGTTAACACTAGTTGTTCACCTTTGGTTTCAGAATGTGGAAGCGATGGTGAAGCAGGCAGACGATGGCAAGTCGGACTGTATGAGAAAGGAAGCACGTCCTCCACGATGCATAAGTGGCGCCTGTGGCGTAGCGACGTTAACGACGCGCGTCGACTACAGTCGTCTCTAACTATATGCAGACGGTAAATGCGAAGCCACCCTGGAGATTGCAGACGCCGCAGGTAGAATGTAAAACAAAGTTGGCAGCCGATCTCGGCTCTCTGTCTGCAACACCTAATTATTAATGAATTATTATAATTATCAAGTGCTATATTGTTATCAACAAGACTATAAATTTGCCTGCTGTTACTTCTTTACTTAATAATATTAAGTGAAATTGTGTATAATTTATTGACTCGTATGCCGAACCTGATAAATTAAATTAAACTCATGCAATCGGATAGGTATTCTCTTGAATAATATCCGACGTCATATTCCTCAAGAATTATAATGTCGATCCAATGCAATCATGAAAATCTGTCCCGCTCTCTGTCGTTAGGGAATGTCGACAAAAGACACAGAAATACATACGATACAGAGACCGGACAACGACCGAGACGCCTGTTCGTTTTGGACAACACGCCCTATACATTGCTTCGCATCGCGAATCGAAGGCAGCCTCGCCCACTGACGTCACGCACAAGATGGGCTCGCCGCAATCGACTCGCCGTCTGGCGTGACGAACAGCAAGCGACGTTGCAGTGAACGAAGCGCACGCGGGCGGGTGTCGCCGAACCAGAGAACCACGCGGCGCTCTGGTGTCGCTTCGCGGTGGTTACCTCAGCAGCTTTCACGCTGGGGAGGAACTCAAGCGGCGGCGCACGGAACCGCGCATCAAGGGCGCGGCGCACGCCGCCGCGCGCGGACACAACCAACCAGCCGACGATTAAACGAGGTGGCCGAATCAGAATTCGGCCGCGGAAGAGCCCGACGCCGGTAGGCTCTGTACGCCGTGCCTCGTAAACAGACGCGCGACAACAGCAACAATTCAACCTCATCATCCAGCAAGCAGGGAACAGCGAATCGCACAAGCAACAACACACAGTCAACAACATCATCAAACAACAACATCCAACAACAGCATCAACAGCAGCGCAGCGGGTGGTCACACAACGCGAGGCGCGCGAGGGCCAGCAAACAACACATGGCGACAACTGACGCCTCGCCGCGAACCAGACGGGCCGCGCGCGCCAACACACTGGTACGCGCGCAACGCGCAGGGGCGAAGCTGACAGACGGGCGGCGGACAGCGAACACGGCGGACACTATCGCGCCGCCGACTATCTTTCGTCATCCCGAAGGTTAAACTGCCGTCGCCGCGACGACTCCGACCGACGCGTCTACGACCATGCTTCAACGGACAAAGATCAACGCCGAGCAGAACGACAAGATGGCGGCCGGCGCGGGAGTGCCGCAACGGCATCCTGAAGAATTCGCGCCACGAGGCACACGGCGGCGAGAGCTCGGACGAACGGGAGAGCGCGGCGGCGCTGTCCGCTGCGCCGCGCGGCTCGGACGCGGCGGCGGTGGCTCTACGATCGAGAACGCTCGCAGGCGATAAGGTACACGAACAATCGAGACGGGCGACGTTGGGATAGACTGGACTGCGCGTGCGTATGACAGTACACCACGAGATCTCAGCGTGAACTGGACGCGAGTGTTAACAATTCCCGGGCAGCAGCAGCAGCAGGCAGCACAGCGCGGAATGTTTGGCTGCTCGTTCTCGCGTCAACCCGCTACGCAGTACGAGGACAGCTTACCCGACGCGCTCGGCGTTCGTCGCCGGCGCAGGCGCGCCACAACACGTTGGGCGGCGCTGCAGCGACGACCGGTCGCCAGAACGACGGACGGACGCAGACGGAGGCGCGTCGGCCGCCGGCGGACGTCAGTTGAGGACGCTCGCTCGCAGACGCTCGACGCGGCGCGCGAAGCAGAGCTCGCAGCAAGGAAGCGGCGCGAAAACGACGGGCACGAAGATCGACCGGCTGGTTCAGTTTTCCTCGCCAAGGATCGGGACAGAAGGCGCGCAGCGAGTGGAGGCTTGCACGCAGGCGGCGTCACGACAAGCAGAGACCGGCGCGCCAGCGCCCGTTGCTAGCAACCAGCGTCAGCGGACCACCCAGCAGACGGAGCACGCTGCCGCCGGAATCAGCAGAACAGGAAGACGTTGGGACGGTCACACCCGATGCGGACGAGATCTAGCGGAACCGAAAAGGCCGGAAGATTGGAATCGGGATAACGTGAAGCTCGTCGTAGTAACTGCATGATAAGACAGGTCGGGAAGCGGGAAATGATTAGAGCAATGGCATGTCACTTATACATGCACAAAACACTGGAAGTTCATCACTTCCACGCGCTTGGGCCGTGCCAGATGTTGAGTTCGTGATGAAAGTACTATAAGGATGGAACGGAGGTGAATTAAAGACCCAGTGTGGGTGCAGCAAAAAAGCACGACGGGATGCATTGTTACGATTATCTCGACGTATACTTAATAGATCGCGCGTGCATTGTCAAAGAAAATTATTATTGCTCGAGCAAATTTTCGGATCAAAGCGTTAGTGAGTAGACAACGCTAGGACCGAAGTAGGTCTATCTATGCGTCTATACGTGTTACCTGTACTGACGCGGCACTGTTACCACAATACGAACAACCGGTTCGCATTAACAAGACTATTACCAGAGCTTCGACAAGTGTATGTCGCTTCGTCGATGAAAACGTGTCAAAGCGATGTATTATTTAATTGATTTCTTGCTCGAACGCAGGACAGTGGATGGTAAGAATAATTAGGAGCGTAAATGAGCACATTCGT